ATTAATATTTTATTACTAATAGACACAGGAATCAGGCCAAATGAAAAAAGATTTAATATTAAAAATTTATTGAAACACCGCTTTCCCTGCGAAAAAATTAGTAACCACCACATGAAATATTAGGAAAAAATTATGAAGGAAAAAGAAATGAAAATGAATATTAATTCTTTCTATGAGTGAAAAAGGAAATGAATATACTCATATTTCATTTAAAATATCAGTAATTATATGATTATAATTATTATACTTATATTAATTATTTATGAAGGAAAAATGAAATGAATATATTAATATTTTATTAGAAATATAATCAGTAATTATATTTTTATAATTATATTATTTTTTAATCAGAAAGGAAATAAATATTTCAAACAGAAATCCATTATTAATATCCTAATCGACATGGAAATTAGGCCAATTAATCGACAATTATTAGGAAAAATGAATAGAAATCAATATTAATTCTTTTTATGAAGGAAAAAAAAAAAGAAATGAATATATTCAAAAGGAAATGAAATATTAAGAAAAACGAATGAATTTGTTTATATTTTACTGAAAATATAACACAGCTTTTTAAATTTTTAAATATAAATCTATTAATACAAATTATAATGAATGAAATTATATTATAGAATTTTTATATATACATATTAATAAATATTATGTGTATATACAATGTATTATTCAATCATATAAGGATATGCGTTCGATTAGAGTTTATATTTATTCATACAAAATTTAGAATTTACATTTTTATTGATTTCTAAGTACAATTTTCTTAGTTATTATTATTCATATTTTTGAAATTATAATATATATGAAATACAATTTAGAATAAATTAATTTAATTTTATAATTTTTTTTCTATAAACTTATCTAAATATGTACATGATTAGAGATTATACTAAGCATACAATATTTTAATTTTAATTTTGTATGTTATGAAAATAGATACTTACCAAATATATAAAAGTCCAACTATATTATTATATTGTACATTTTAAAATCTTTTTATTTCTCTAATTTAATTTTAAATTCATAATAACAAAAAAAAAAAAAAAATCTCGCGTAAAACACTATATTTTAAAAAATACAATTTGATAAATATCATAAATTAATTAATACAATATCATTTATGCTTATAATAATTAAAGAAAAAAATAAATAATTCAAATATGTGAACCAATAATTTCAAAATGAAATTAATATATAGTTACAAATAAATATAGCATGATTACATTTACTTTAATTAGTTTTAATTCCCTTAAATCCTTAATGATATGACTTTTCTTTATCAGTTGTTTATGGGAGGCTAAGGGAGTGTTTGAGTTGGTGGAATTTTTATTTTTTTTAAATACTTACTAATAAAAAATAATTTAAAAATATTTTGTAACCCCTCATACCATTTGTAAATCTTATATTTTTTAAACAATACAATTTGATAAATATCATAAATTAATTAGTAAAATATCATTTCTGTTTATAAATTATAATAATTAAAAACAAATTCAAATATGTGAACCAATGATTTCAAAATGAAATTAATATACAGTTACAAATAAATATAGCATGATTAGATTTACTTTAATTAATTTTAATTTCCTTAATGAAATGACTTTTCTTTGTCAATTTTTTTTTTATCGGAGGCTAAGAGAGTGTTTGGATTGTTGAAAAATATTTTAAAATAAAAATACATACAAATAAAAAATAATTTAAAATATTTTTTAACCCCTCATAACATGTGTAAATGTTATATATTTTTTAAAATACAATTTGGTAAATATCAAATTTTTGTTTATAATAGTTAAGAAAAAAATAAATAATTCAAAAATGTGAATCAATGATTTCAAAATGAAATTAATATACAATTGCAAATAAATATAGCATGATTAGATTTACTTTAATTAGTTTTAATTTTCTTAATGAAATGACTTTTCTTTATCAATTTTTTTTTTTTATGGGAGCCTAAGGGAGTGTTTATCCTGCTGGAAAATATTTTAAAATAAAAATACATGCTAATAAAAAATAATTTGAAATATTTTTTAACCCCTCATAACATGTGTAAATGTTATATATATATATATATATATATATATATATATATATATATATATATATATATATATATATATATATATATATATATATTTATTTATTTATTTATTTATTTATTTATTTATTTATTTATATTTAAATACAATTTGATAAATATCATAATTTTTGTTTATAATAGTCAAAGAAAAAAATAAATAATTCAAAGATGTGAACCAATAATTTCAAAATGAAATTAATATACAGTTACAAATAAATATAGCATGATTATATTTACTATAATTAGTTTTAATTTTCTTAATGAAATAACTTTTATTTTTCAGTTTTTTATTAGAGACTAAGGGAGTGTTTGGGTTGCTGGAAAATATTTTAGAAATAAAAATACTTACTAATAAAAAATAATTTTAAAATATTTTTAATCCCTAAACATGAGAAAATTTTACATTTTAAAAAAAATATAATTTGATAAATATTATAAATTAATTATTGCAATATCATTTATGTTTACAACGAGAATAATTAAAGAAAAAATAAATAAATCAAATATGTGAACCAATGATTTCAAAATGAAATTAATATAACATGATTAGATAAAGTGACTAATGCCCCTCTTTTGGGTGAAAGGGCTGGCCTGGAGATTTAAAGTTGCTCAATTCCCAAAGGCAATGATCAAATCCTTGCCTTTGGTTAATAAGGATGGATGCGTCCCTTCCACTCAACCACAACCTCCAAGTTCTTAGTGAAATGACTTTAATAAAAGTAAAATCCTCCTTTACAACATCCCAACCCAAATTAATATGAATATTAATTAATTAGTAAAAAATAATAAAGCTTAATTGGTAACAAAATTTTATATGAAAATTAACTAATATCTAATGAATTGTTACCACAGATTAAAGTCAATATGTATATAAAAATGAAAAATGGTTACCAAATTATGAGAATAATTAAATTATTATAATTATAAAAATAATGGATACAAATTATGCGTAACAAATGAGAAAATTCATTTGAAATTCTGCGTAATTTTATAAACAAATAATAATTTATTAATTATTATTTACACCAATTTATACTATTAATAAAAGTAAAATTATCATCTTCAACATTCCCGCCCAAATGAATATGAATATTAATTAATTGGTAAAAAAATTTTAATAAAGCTTAATTGGTAACAAAATTTTATATGAAAATTAACTAATATCTAATGAATTTTTATCACACATTGAAGTCAATGTGTACTTAAAAATGGATGATGGTTATCAAATATTGAGAATAATTAAACCATTATAATTGTGAGAATAATAGAAACAAATTCTGCGTAATAAATGAGAAAATCCATTTGAAATTATATGTAATTTTATAAGAAAATAATAATTTATTAATTATTATTTACACCAATCTATATTTGTACTATTAATAAAAGTAAAATCTTCAATTAAAATGTCTTTCGCCCTTCTGATACGAGATTGCCATTCAAGTTCTAACGAAAACAATTCACGTTGATGCTTGCATATGCCATGACTATCAACAAAAGTCAGGGTCAAACACTAACTCACGTTGAGTTATTACTAAAAAAACTCGTCTTTAATCACGGTTAATTGTATGTGAATTTTTCCCGAGTCATCCATCCTGATGGTCTGATGGTTTTAACTCTAGACGAGGATGGATAAAATTCCGTTACTACTACCAATGCTGTCTACAAAGAGATTTTCAATAATGTATAATTCAAGTTATTGATATTATGTTTTTTTATATACAAAGATGACAAAATTGCTATATATCTACATAGAAAATATATCTTCCGTATAAATAATTTCTATAACTGAGTTGCTAGACAACGAGTTAATTAGTCCAATTAATACAAATTCTAAACATAAAATCTCTAAAGTTGCAGCACCGAATGCGTATATCTACACGTTAACTATTAATTGGGCAATTATTTACTCGAATTCAAGTATTGATAACATCATAAAACATAATCGGTGCAACTCAATTCTTCAATTATATTTTATAATATTCGATGTTATAATTTATACAATTGTATATCGATCTAAATATTTTTAAAATATTATAACAAATTTATTCCGTGCAACGCACGGGTGCAAATACTAGTAGAGTATAAAATGAACTAATCAAATGTTGTTACCCAATGAGTTGAAAATTAATTAAGATGTATAATTATGATGAGAATGTAACATTATTACTTATTATTGATTAATCCACAAGTAACCAATAACAATAAGTAGTTTACTTTTAGAAAAAGTATCATATAAGGGTGAACATTGAACAGTATTATAATGATGTTAGTAAGAGAAAATAATTTATTTTTTTTAAATGTGATCTAACTTTACATGTTTAATTCTATCAATTAGCCGCTAATTAGTGAATATAGAACAGTTGTGACATTTACCATAAGTAAAAACAAATCACGAGTAGGAAATTGGCATAATTAATGCCACAAAAATAAAGAATATATATAAAATTTTTGAAACACTCATGACTTTTTATCATTCTATACCAAATAATTAGTTCTATTTTTTATCCTAGATATTTATAGGTGACGTTCCACTTTTATTTTTTTTTTCTTCATAACATCACCTTTGAATCTTTAATCCTAATATTATTGTGGCAGGACAATTTTTGGTACTTTATCAACAAAATCGTTTAAATGCCATTAAATAAAATGGGCATTTTGATCTTCAAATAGAGATTTTTTTCAAACAAAAATATAGTGGGTCAACTAATTTTGTTTTTTTTTTTTTTTTAAAAAAAAAGATCAAAATGTCTTTGTATTTAACGTCATTTCAACGATTTTTTTGACGGATGACCAAAAATGACCATGCCACAATAATACTAGGGTCAAACGTTGATGTTTTAATAAAAATAGACTAAAAGTAGACTGTCACCTATAAATCTAATACCAATGAAATTAGTTCCAAAGAATCATATCACCCCGTTCAATCATGTGACCACTCATTTGAAATGATAACAGATGTGTCATCAGATTACATAAGAGTTGACAAGAAAATAAATTACCACACCAATAAGTTTATTAATCAATTATTATGCAATTACTCAAAAACAATGAGATATACATAATTAGCTAATAAGGCCTCTCTCCAATGTAGTTCCCAGGAGGATCATAGTTACAAGTCATGAAAATCCCCTTGCCGCCATTACAAGCCACTCTAGCACACCCAATCCTCCTCGTCTCTCTCCACACAATCTGCGTATAATGCCCGCACTGCTGCCCGCCCGCGCAGCTGTTGTACCGGTAGTTGTACCACCGCCGCTCCGACGCCCAGGCGGCGGCGGCCTGCACCGGCATCCACCCGCCGCCGCCGCCCCAGAAGATGTTCTCCCCGTACGGCCCCTCGGAATGCATCAGCGCGCAGTCGCCGCGTCTCTGGTTGGCGTACCATTTCGCGTAGCTCTCGAGCCTCTTGTCCCACACCAGCGGCCGGAGGTGAAGCGCCGACCGGGCGGCGTTCTGCGGCGCCAAGAACTGGTTGATGAAGTTGTTGTTTCTGGCGTTTGTATATTTGGTTTGGGCGTTTGTGGGTGAAAGGAGGAGAAGAAAGAAGAGGGAAATGGAGTAGTGAGGGGTCATTGGAGGAAGATTAGGTGAGGATTTTAGGAAGGAGAAGTGACCTTAGTGTTTGTGAGGAATGTATTTTATATTTATATATAGGCAAAAAGGGAGTGGTTGGAGTTTTGAGTGGCTAAAGTTTCAAACTCTTTGGTGGCATCCATGTTCGATAATGATTACCACAATCTTTTTTGTTTTTCAAAGGGAAGAACAAAATTTAGCCTAATTAAAACAATATATATTTATAATTCCTTTATTAAATAATCCATTTGGAATTTCTTAAAGATATTCATTTATTTGTTTTTTTTTTATTAGTTCTAGTTCTATTTACATATTTTAGTTTAATCAAAGGTTTCAGATTCAAACTTCAAAAATGCAAGCTGTCATTCACAAATAATCACTCTCTAATGTGACATGAATTACATATTTGTGATATAGCAATTACATATTTCATTAATTATTGTATGTGTGTGATGTGACATTTTGCGACATAGGGATGACTCTTAGCTTGTGAGTGACAATGGTAAGGATGCATAGCATTTTCTTAAACAATTATGTTGTATTTTTGCTTTTTAATTTATCTAGTACTATTTAAAATAATCATTTAATATATATGTTAAAATAAATGTCATTATAGGAGCAATTCTATCCAAGTTGGTCGGACTGTTGACTTGATAGCCTTAAGATTTTAAGTTACGTTTTACTCACAGTAAGAGCCACCTATTGATCACCATATCGGATAGTAGTTGCGGGTTTCCCTGATCACCCAAAAGAAAAATAATATAATAAACATTATTCTACTTGCCCTTTCGGAAACATCCGATAAAATTGGAACGACATGGAAAAGATTAGTATGACCCATGCGCAAGGATGACATGCACAAAGAGAAATGGTAATAAACGTTATTTTCAATTATTCTTGAAAAAAACCATAAATCTAGGAGTTATTTTGGTAATGACAATGCAGTTTACCAGCTCTCTCTCCTTTCTTGTTTTTTGACCATACAATATCGCGCAGTGCATTGAGCCTAAATACCTAATTGAATGTTTATATTAGGCAACTTAAATTAAAAGTCCAAAATTTTATTTGTCTCTTAAATTTATCTTATAATGCTCATTATTAAATGTGACAATAAAACTCTTTATATTTAATTTATTAATTGTTAATAATTGATTGATCAAATTCTTTATATTTATTTTGATGCTTTTAAGTTTTTAACATTTAAGGCACTAAAGATCTAAAATATTAGTGGTACTTTATGAATTTAGAGTCTCAATTTTTTTTATATAGAAAGTTACAAACTGGAATAAACTTAGATTTAAAAAATTTCAATTTATATAGATAACAATAATAATAATAGCGACGATGATTAGTATCTTCAAATTTATGTGTAAGAAAAGAGTATTATTTTAGAATTTACGTATTTAAATATATTTATAAAAATATATTAATATATTAAAAATATATATTTTTATAATATATTAATATGTGTTATTATAGATTTTTTTTTTTTTTAATATTCATTGTTAGTTGCACGTTCAGGCCGGCGTTGATATCGGCGGAAGTTATCTCCGTGGATTGAGGCGGCCTTGCAATCCACACTAAATTTCTTGATTATTTTTTTTTTTAAAGAAAACAAGAAATGAAGTAATTAAGGTTCGAATGCATAGATTATAATTCACAAATAAAAGGAGAAGGATGTGAAACATACTTCATGCAATCTTGCATAGAACAAGATTCTCGACCTTAGAAATGAGAAATCTTATTCATATATTACTTAGCAAAAGAGATAAAATCATAAGCAAATTGACTCAGATTTTGTCTTGAGAAATTTAATCACAAGACGTTTGGTAGGATAGAATTGTAATTCCATTTCTATCAAACTCCATGGAATTACAATTTCATAGTTTAATTGGACGGAATTACAGTTCCTTTCAACCATGGAATTGCAATTCTTAAGGTATTTCCTAAGAATTGAAATTTCACACTTTGTCGAATTGTAATTTTATGATAAATTACCATTTTATCCTTATTATTATTATTATTATTATTATTATTATTATTATTATTATTATTATTATTATTATTATACAATGATATTTTAGTCTTTATTCACTTCTTCCTTTCTAATTTTCAATCATTCTATTCATTCCTACCAAACAATGTAATTTAAATTTTCATTTTATTATTTTCCAAAGAAATTACAATTGCTTTCCCTTCTTCCAACCAAACGCCCTATGATTTCTTGGAGACTAGGTTATGTATTTTGTTTTCCTACTCGAACCTTTAATTCTTTTGTTATTATTTTTGAGTTTAAATACCATTGGCCTCCAAGTTAGTCAGTTAGTTGACTTAGTAATCAAAATGTATGTTCTAAGTTCAACTCCCTTGTGATTTGTGGAAGCTGTCTACTAGCCTTCTCACATTTATTCATTTCTCCCAAAAGGTTGAATCCCCAACCCAAAGGGGCCCCCACACTTCGACCTGGTAGACCATTGTGAGAGGATGTAAATCACGATGACTCAATAGTTCAGCAGACATGGCCAAATGCCCGTGCGCACAAGGAATCTGCTTGTTTGCTTCTTCATTTTTTCTTTTTTTTAAATAATTTTGCCACTTGGGCGGGTATGCTGTAACAGCTACTTTTTCTGATCTTTGAATTAAAGCATTGGCATATCAAAGTGTTCAATAGCACATCTAGAAATAGAATGTAGAATTTTTGGCACTTTGTAAATTGATTTGTTTGGGTTCAAATTTCAGAAGATGTGCTCAATATGTTTGGGCTCGCAGTCATTGCCTTTTCTTCACCAGCACGCCGTCTTTTCCCCCTTCGAAGGATGTCTGAAACCGGACGGCATGAGGCACTCCAAGCTATCAACTCTTTGGTTGCAAATGGTGGAACAAAGGCTTGAGAAAGGGTGCCAAGATAATGGAAGACCCAAGGGAAAAGAACCCAGTTGCAAGTATAATATTGTTACCTGATGGTCAAGGCCTCAGAAAAATGCTGCCTTTTCATTTGCCCTCATTGGGCTTAGGAATTCTCTTGTATTCGTAAGTGTTTATATCAACCTTCTCTTGCAGAGCCTGAAATATGCAAGGGAAATTAGAGGACAAACTAAAAAGGAGGAAAAAAAAAGTCAACATGTAAAATTCACAGTAAATTTGGGTATTGCTTATCTACTATGAGAACACAGACAAACATTCGACTCTGACTACTCTGCTTGAAAAAGAAATGCAAGATACCCTCCATTGCAACAGAAGCAACAACATTTTTCATAACAAAAACTGGCTTCATTTGGTAATTTGCAATAACATATGCACACACATATGGGTCAAAACTGTCATACCTTCAACTCATCCTCCAAATTTATCTTTTTGGGGTTATATGCATTGACAGGCCCTTCCTTCGAAAGTGCTTTTCTTGTCTCAATGATCTCCCACTCACGATCATCCTTCACTTTAGCAATATCCTTGCTGAACTACAACATTTCACAAGATTTAATCTTTAAATAAATGAAAAGTAAGTAAAAGAGCATAGCAAAGAGCAACTATGTAAGAATGTTTAAAATTGCTTTAAGGCAAATATCAATTACTCTATACAAAATTATGGCACTCGAGAAAGGCAATTGTCAATGAAAAGCATAGACAATCTAAACAGTTGATCCCTTCCTTAATCTCCAAACAAGCTTTAAAATGATGGAAGGATTCTGAAGAGTTAAATATAAATTTCCTTAGCACTGCAACCAAAAGGTTCAAAGTGACTTTGGATAAAACCATCCTGGAAAGGGATGTTTCAGTGTCCAGTATAGTTTAGTGAACTATATTTAGCTAGCAACTAAACAACAAACACAATTTGACGTTTAATTAAATAAACATTTGAACCAACCTGCCTTGCAGAAGATGGCCAAGGCCAAAAGACCCAAGCACCATTAGTGAGATCATAGGAAGTCCATATCTAGTGAATGGCGATTTCCTGCCCAACCTTTTGAATGATGACGCTGAATTTTGAGATTTGTAAGTAGAGGAAGCAACATTGTCATCAACTTTTTTAGAAGGATCCATTGTTACTTGAGCCATTGTCTAACTTTGGATGTCCTACATCACAATCTGAAAGTCAGCCATTCATAACCCTCGCAAGTAGGATGGTATTTATAAACAATGTATTCTTAGTTCCACTTGTCAATCAGATCAACTCATTCATCAAAAAAGTAAAGATGATTCCCATTAGGGATGTAATTGAGCTTAGCCAAGCCCCAATAATCAAAGCTCAGCCTGATTCAAAAGTTGAAGTTCAAAACACAGCTCAGATCAAGCTTCAAGCTATTCAAACTCGACTGTGATTTTAGTATCTAAAGATTAAAGAACCTCTAAGTAATTTGATAATAAGCCCCAGTAATGGGATGGCAGGAATTGTTCCTAATTAATACCACAGAAATGCAGAATCCAAATTCACTAATGCGATAATGGTGTAATGGTGTTGTATGTAGTTAAGATCCGCGAGCAAGTCCATCAAATCTCCCTCTTTCAATTCGCACACCTACAAAGTACAAACCCCACCCACCTATCAACTACACTTCAAAACGAAGAAATCGAAAAAACACAACACACACATACATACGCATATACATACAGAGAGAGAAAGATGTGTATATCAATTCGCCCAGAGAGAGAGATAGAGTACCTTAGATGCGAAACGGCACCGTATTACTGCTCCTTGTTTCTCTGTCTGCGCTTAAAAAAATGGCGGCTATCTGATTAGATAGAGGAAGAGAAATTTACAATTTAATAGATATTGGCCCCGTTTGGCCTATAGGCTAATTTTAACTTATTTGACTACTATTAATTCTTTGATTTAGTTAAAATATCAATATAAATGTTTGGTTAATTAGTTTTTTGCATCTCCAAAAGGTTAAAATTCAAAAAGCTACTCCAAGCAACTTTTTCAATTAGTTTTTTGAGAAAATAAATTATACCAAACAGCTATCAGCTAACAGCTAATTTACCAAACTTTTTTTACAATCAGCTAATATTATCAACTATTTATACCTTCAAATTAACACAATCAGCTAACAACTAACAGCTATTAGCTAACAGCCATTTTACCAAACAGGGCCATTATATTTTTGTTCCCAATTTATGCTAAAATTGCAGTACGTGCCCTTATCTTTTTATGATTTGTAGTATTAACAGTGCACTGCACAAGACTTTTGGTTTGAGAATCGAGGCCAATATAGACTGCAATTGTGCAAAATTGGCAAATTATGCTGTGAGCACGTGCCCACCATGAACATGGTGCGCATGAATCTATATCCATAAATTCTATATTGTAAATTCATAATTTTTATATTGTAGATTCATAATTTCTAGAATCCCGGTAAGCTAAAATTTATACAAGTAACATTATAGATGTCATTCTTAATTGTCATGAGATCGAGCCTCAGTGAAGACGTTGTTGACTCTTTGTGCTTCATTAGGTTGAGAAAGTATGTTGAACAATGTAATAGAGTCAGTAGTATTCACACAAAAAAAAAAAAGAAAGTACCTTAAATTATTGATTTGAGGCGAGAGAGGACCAATAAATCATAGTTGTTATACGATGGATTGCATTGTGAGTTCTTATTCAAAAATTATGTGTCTGCAGTTAACACATTTTGTATATGCAGTTAATAATTTTTGTATATATAAACAAATTGAAGGCACATAAATTAGTAATTACAAACACATAATATGATAATTACGTACATATAAATTATTAATTGCAGAAACATAAGATGTTGGTTAACATGTTAAGTGTCGGCAGTTAACATATTCTGTACCTGTAGTTAATAGTTTATTATTTGTAGTTAACATGTTATGTGTCTGTAATTACCATGTGATATGTCTTTAATTTGTTTACAAATACATAAATAATTAATTAATTATAAAGAATGCAATGTGGACTCCATTAGTATAATTTACCAATAAATCACGTCTACCGTGGCATGGTAAAGTGTTAAAGTGGAGAGTGCATGTGAGTGCGGGTGGGTCTTTGTCACGAGCGACGTGGGGATTCTTTCTTTATTTCTCTTTCTCTTTGTCGTGAAACTGAAGGATACATGTTCCTCAAATTAAAGCGATGACACGTTTGATTTAGTTTGTGGTCCATCCGCCTTGAAATTTGAGAATGTTTGCCCATCATTCATTGAAACTCAATTTTAGGCCTCAAATTTTGTTTCTTTGTACCTTCTAAACTTTTGATTCGCTAACGGATTATTATGTATGTTTAATCTAAATTACCGCCGTAAAAAGACAGTGTGGTCCTGTGACACTAAGTTGCTTCTTTATATGAAAAGTTGTAAGGTTTCTTTACATGAGAGGTTGTGGGTTTGAGCTTGTCTCAGTAAAGACGATGCAAGTTGAAAAAGAAATCTAATATTATAATAAAATCAGTAGTATTCAAAAAAAAAAAAAAATCTAGAGTCAATTCTCCATATTTAGATTAAAATAATATTTTTATATATTATGCAATAAAATTTGTATGGTATAATTTTTGACCAAAAATATTCCAACCATTATAACTTTTGTTATATTTTTCATTATTTTTAGCATGCATCCATTATATATTTTCTTAGTTAATTAATTAATAATATAAAAATAAAATAAATGTCATTTCAGTTAGTTAGTTATTTCTTAAATATAAATATCAAATTTAAAAATTATTATTATTATTGTTGTTGTTGTTGTTATTGTTGTAAAACTTGGTCTAGGCGCCGCTATACCGTGTTGTTTTTGGCTATACTCGGCCATTAGTCGGCCGGCTACCTCGGCTGAGTTAATTCAGTTTTTCTTTAATTGGAATTTTTTTGCTCAAAACGATGTCGTTTTGAACGAAAAATCCAATTAAAATAATTGATTTTGTTTCCTATTTCCTAACCCTAAGTCCCTAAGTCAACGCGAGCCGAGACGTGAGAATCGAGTAATTAACACGAGAGTCTGTTGAAGCTGTCGAAGCCGTCTGCTGGTGGAGCTCTATCGACCGGATGCCTTGAAGGCGGTCCGACCAGTTAATCTAGTATACCATTCATCATCTAAAGTTCAATTTTTATTCAAGTAAAACTTAATTTAACAATTTTTAACATGAAACACTTTTACGGATTAACTATTAAATGACTAAATACACTGTATAATTACATTATCTCCACGTAAAAATTTAGAAATTATAAGAGATCACATGCGGATACTATGCCCAGGCGAAAGATGGGGTTGAATGACAGCTGTTGATCTCGCTAAAAATGATTATTCATATTGAACACAGATTAAAAAAACGCAGTGGCAATTTGATCTTTTTGCGTTTAGGTCAAACTTAAGGTGTGTAGTTTATGTGCTTAAGGCGAATCAATTATTCAGTTCTTCAAATTTAAAGTGCGTGATTTGTGTGCTTAATATGTACCATTTTAATACTTAAGATGCATAAGTTATAATACTTAAGGTGCGGCGTTTTAAAATTAAAGGTGCATAGTTTGTATGCTTAATGTGTGTGATTTGTGTATCTAAGATACATCAATTATAATATTTAAGATGCATTATTTAAAAACTAAGGTGTCTAGTTTATGTTTTTAAGATACATAATTTGTGTACTTAAGTGCCCTATTTTAATACTTAAAGTTAAAGTGTGGTTTCCTTTCACACCTGAGTAAATTTCCGCGCAAGATTTCATTCTTATCAAACACAACTTTATTTTATAACTGTCAACTTATAATATATTTTGTGCGGCCAAGTGAAGAGTTGCCAATTTTGCGATTCCCATTCGGGGAATCCATGCCCCACACGCCTCCAAAACCGCGCGTGAGGGGGAATATACCATGGAGATAAATTGATGCCATGATTCTGAAAAACCAAAACTCGCCACGTGTCCTCTTAGCTGGCACCCTCTTCCCCGCCATGACGCTCTCTCACCCTTCACAAATCTCTCTTTGTCTCTCTAAACATTATGCACTGCAAATTATAGCATAGCCATCTCTCTCTCTCCTCTTTTCTCTGTTTGTGTATATATATATATTTATTTTATTTATACAATTATGAATTTATTATATTTATAAATTGTTGCCACAGAATAAAGTTTGTTATTAATACAGTTTAGGTTTTCCTTATTTTAGAATATATTTATATATATATACACAAACGCACCATATCTATCTATATTTATATATATATATATCTGACTCGTATAATATAGATGAGATAAGCATCGAAATTGAGAGATTGTGTTGAGACTCGAGATTTCGTTGCTTTTCGTGCAATTGGAACCGCCATTTTTTCATCAGGTACTCGTTGAATTTGAATTTTTAGGTCGAAATTAATGATATTATTTGATGAATTTAAGCTGAAAAGTTGTGATCTTTTGATAATTATCAGGTGACAATCCAGAAATCGTCGAGTTTTTGTTTTTGGAATTCTTTTAGTTGTTTAAACTGCCTACGTTTTGGAGGAGTTATTGTTCGATTTCTCTGAGTGTTTTGAATTTGAAGATTTTCGATCATTTGCGAGCGAGCGAGGGGTATGGATATGGTTTATAGTTATTGTGACAACAAGTGATGTGTAATAAAGGTGTTCAAGCGTTGGGCGAATCAATATTAGATTCTGAGCGCTCAATTGAACTGCAGGAGGCTGAAGATTTATACGAGATGGATAATAATAGCCCGACATCGGGCTCGGTCCTGATTTCTAATGATGAAACCCCGCGGGTTAAGTTCTTGTGCAGTTTTGGGGGTAGCATACTGCCTAGGCCTCAGGATGGGAAGCTTAGGTATGTGGGTGGTGAGACGCGGATAGTGAGTGTTGCAAGGGATATTAGTTACGAAGAGCTAATGGGAAAGATGAGGGAGCTCTTTGAAGGGGCGGCAACTGTTTTGAAGTATCAGCAACCTGATGAGGATCTTGATGCTTTGGTCTCTGTTGTTAATGATGATGATGTGATCAATATGATGGAGGAATACGATAAGCTGGGGTCAGGAGATGGGTTCACTAGGTTAAGGATCTTCCTTTTCTCTCAGCTTGATTTTGATGGATCACTGCATTTTGGTGATGGGGATGACAGGGACAACGAAAGGAGGTATGTAGACGCGTTGAATAGCCTTAATGATTCCCCAGAATATAGAACCCCACAACTTGGTGAATTTCCATTAGAAGATCACATCACAGAGCAGTACTTTAACCAGATGAGTCTTGAGGGTAGCCTCCATAACCAGAGAAATGCTGAGATGCACATGCCTCAGGTTGGCTTGCATCACATTAATATTCCTCTTTCGGGGTTGGGGCAACCGCAGAGGTATAATGAGATGGATGCTCCGTGGAGTCCTGGTTATTACTCCCCCAGGCAACCTGGACTTGAACCAAGGCCAGTGGCAGAGATTCCAACTTCACCTTCATCATCGCGTTTCTACCCACCATATCAAGAAGTTCAAGAGAAAAGCTATGATAGGACTCCTGAGGAATATTGTCGTCTTCATGTTAATCATCAATCTCCCCATGAGCTATTATTTCCAAATGGACCACATCATGTACCCCATGCACTTGAAGGAAACAGTATCTGTGAGCATTGCCAGTTGACTTTTCAAAGAAATCAACCTTATCCAGATTCCTCCTGGAAGCCTGGGGACAGACCATATGCAGAACCAAATCTAGGAAGTGGACTGCACCAGGTTGCAAATTCTTGTGCTGAATGTCCTCCAAATCGGGAAATGATCATGATGAGTACAGATGCAAACATGCACCATCCTTACTATCCTAGGGAACAAACAGATCCTCGTGCTCTTTACAATGATACTCATAATCATGAAAGAGGGGGGTGGGTTATGCAGCACCAATCAAATCCTCGGGTGGAGGAACCAAGGACACATGTTTCTGGGGTTGGAAGGTTGACAGATCACTACATTATAGACAATGGGATCAATATGCCTATGGGGCATAGCAATGTAGCTGATGCCCATCATGTGCCACCACATTATGTTCATCACGATGACCCTCGTAATGTTCGAAGTGGGCAAGATTTTGGTAATCAAGTGTTTCACGACCATGCAGTGGCCAAAGGGTCACACATACATGTTCCACCGGTAGATGAGTATGGAGTTCGCTATGGGAATTCACCTTATGCATATGGAGCAGATCCACTTTACCAAGTGCCACATGGTCCTGTAGTTTCAAATTCTATGTGGAGAAATGTTCATGGCGCAATGCATGGGGGTCCCTCTTATGAGGCATGTGGTTCAACCCAGCTGGCAAATGGGTCATCTGGTCCTGCATTTATCAGGGGAGTGGTAGAGAATAATTCCAGATTGCAAACTGGGTTGGAGTATCCGACTTCTTGGGTTGATTTGTCACAGAAAAAGATGGCCTTTGATGAGTCTTCTGTGCCTGAATATTTTCAGGGACAAACACGGAGATTGACACAAAATGCTTTTAATCAAGAGATTCAATTTCCTAATACTCTTGAACCTTCAGAGTTATCTGAAAAGCTCAACCTTGTGACTCCTGTAGATCCACTATTGAGACCTCTTTCAACTCCTTTAATTGACGATAAGGTGGTAAGTTTGAGTATGCCGGGAGCTAAGCCAATACGCCCTGACTTGGAAGTTGTAGATTCCAACGTTTCCACTGCCATTCCCATAGAATTAACAAGGGACGTGGATGGCATAGAAAGTAGCTGCACTATGAAGGCAGGAGATAATAATGGTAGTGCTTCTCGTGAGAAGGAGAAGCTGCCAGATGATAGTCTGAGTTTCACACCTGAGTTGATTGCATCTGTGAAACAAAGAGCAATGCAAAATGTTAATGAAGTGAAAGCTAAAGCTCAAGAAGATGCTCATTCTGTTATCGAGGATGAGAAAACTACAAAAGTAGGAATTGAGAATGAGCCCGATGCAGTGGTGAGGGTGGATTCTTGTGCTTTGTATGCAATGCTAGTTCTTTAATCCTCTTACTGAAATCTTTATTTAATTTATAGGATGTCCATGGAGGCTCCGGGATAGACTCTGATAATGATAATGATAATCTTGATAATTCAAAAATTGAGCCAACAGAGGCCGAGGCTGAGGCTATTGAAAGGGGATTGCAGGTTTGTCTTATCTGTCAATTAGTAAATCTTCATTATAATTGTAGCTCAAGTTTAAAGAGGAAATTAAAAAAAACCATTAATATGGGCTATTAATACGCCTTCAATTTCTATTTATGGTATTCTATTGTTTACATGTAGACTATTAGAAATGAAGATCTTGAGGAAATCCGGGAATTGGGGTCTGGCACATACGGTTCTGTTTATCATGGGAAATGGAAGGGTTCAGATGTGGCTATAAAGAGAATAAAAGCTAGCTGCTTTGCTGGAAAACCATCTGAAAGGGAACGTCTGGTAGGTTTTTTATGTTACTTCATTCCCTGTTCTTTTCATTACATTGTTCATTGTTTCATGTGATCTCTATATTTACTTTTAGTTTTTATTTTTATTTGGTTGATGATTGAAGTTTCCCTAGTTCCATCTTAATACATTACATCTGAAATCAAGCTATGTTAAGGAATAAGCTTCCCACCGTATTCTCATGACTAATAACATGTCATCAAGTGTATTCCATTTGCTTTCTCTATTTGTTGAGATGGATGTTTCCACACATGGTGTGTGTGTTTTCTTTTTTCTATATTTGTTTTTTGTTGTGCAGGGGTGGTTGGGGTGTGAGTCTAGTACAATTCATTGTATATTGAAAGAGACTCGAGAGCCCTTTCAATTTCTTTGAAATGCAGTGATAAGTGATTATATATTTGGTGCCTTTTTCATCTAAGTTGCCATGAGCTATTCTATGTCACATTCATTCACGCATTGAAACACTATGTAACACTGCAGGATAGATAAATTCTCCTAAAATGCTGAACTTTCCATTGTTGTCAATGCAGAGTGTGAATTCAATGAGCACCTTAACTATTACTATGGTGTTGATATTCTAACACGATTTTACATAGTTTGGCTATAGTAGGAACATAAGCTGTCAATTGCACAGACTAAGGGTGTGTTTGGTTGGTGGGTTTTGCCCATAGGAATGGGTATGAAAGTGATTGTTGTTGTTTGGTTGATAGATTTTTAGAACACTACTATGGGTTTCGAATACCCCATCAATTGAAAAACCCATACCCAAATACAATAAGGGTTTCATTCCCTTATTCATTTTCAAGCACTACTATTAGTAACCATTCCCATTCCACCCTACTACCAAACATGTTAAATACTTTCATCAAAACCCATTACCATTACCAAGTATTTGATACCCATTTCGATTCCGATTCCTATGTGCGAACCAAACACACCCTAACTTGTTTTGTATTCGAAGATGAGAAAATTGCTTAGCAGTTTTTTGAAAGGTTGAAATTTTGTTAGCATTTGGAGATGGCTATATTTTTACAATGTATTTTGACTTCCTATCTTCACTTGTATCCTGGTGAAGCGTGAACACATTTCAATATCTTGTCATTCAAGAATTTTACTCCACAAAATCATTTTTGAATTGTATTTGGCCCATCAACTAGCAAGCCCATTGGACTGTGAGAAAGTAGAAAAGCATTTATTGGTGATTGATATGTGCTCTTCTACATTTACACCAAGCTAAAGTATTTTACATTCTGCCTTTCTATTTAGATTGCAGACTTCTGGAAAGAAGCCCTGATACTAAGTTCATTGCACCATCCAAATGTTGTTTCATTCTATGGCGTAGTTCGTGATGGTCCAGATGGATCTTTGGCAACTGTGACAGAGTTTATGGTGAACGGATCCTTGAAACAGTTCTTACGGAAAAAAGACAGGTGTCGTAAGCTTTTCATGTATTCTAGACTCTCTTCATTGTGAATGAGAAATATCCTACTTTCTGCTCACTCCTTAAGTGTATGACATTAATCCAAGAAACTTTTGTGGAGCAGGACAATTGATCGCCGTAAAAGGCTTATCATTGCTATGGATACTGCATTTGGTATGGAGTATTTACATGGAAAAAATATTGTGCACTTTGATCTAAAATGTGAGAACCTATTGGTGAATATGAGGGATCCACAGCGACCAGTATGCAAGGTAAGCCAAAGTACGAGTATATAAATATACTTTATTTATTTATGTATGGGTTTCTTACCGAAATGGTCCCTCGACTATTGCGAACTTACCAATTTGGTCCTCGACAATTTTTCTTCCCCAATTAAGTCCTCGACTTTGAAAAAGTTAACCATTTTGGTCCTCCGTCCGTTGGGCATTAATGGAATTTCACTTGATGACTGGGCAGCCCGGACTGCCCACGCCCGAATTTCACTTGATGGATGTTTCACGAGCCATGGAGATCATCGTCCGCAACCTCAGCCGTGGACGGGTAAGGTGGTGGGCGCGTCAGCAACCTTAGCTGTTTCACGAGCCATGGAGATCTCCAGACGAACATGTGGAGCTCCAGACTGAGACTGCTGCGGCTGCTTCTGGGTTTTCGGGATGGCGGAGGCGATTTCCGGGTTCGAAGCTGGACACGAAGCAGGAACGGGTTGAGACGGGTAAAACCCGAACCTGGGAGAGTTCATCCATCAATCCCAGATCAGAGTTTCTGAAATCATAATCTATCAATCTTATCCATGGATTGGGCGCGGTGTTTCAGTCCTGGCAGAGAAGAACACTCCTTCCTTCCCTTGCCAACCACGTCCCTCAAGAAATTCACCTACAAGAAACTCAGAAAAGCCACCGGCAAATTCAGCCCGCCAACAGAATCGGCGAAGACACCTACAAGGGAACCCTCCGCCGCCGCGCCCACCACCTTACCCGCCCCGTCCCTGATGCCCCCAAGACGATGGAGATCATCGTCCGCAACCTCAGCCACGGCCTCCTCCTGCCGACCTCCCCAAATCCCTCAACGAAATCAAGAAACTCGAGACCATCTCCCACCCCAACCTCGTCCACCTCCTCAGTTACTGCGTCGAGACCGACCGCCGCCGCGAACACCGCGCCTATTGCTTCCTCCGCGTCGGTTTCCAGAAGCGACATCGAAACCAGTGCTTCGTGAATCTCAGATTGAAATAGGGTAAATTAATTAAATAAATAGGGTAAATTAATTAAATAAAATGGGTATTATCAAGTGAAATTCCATCAATGCCCTCCAAGTTAACGGACTTCTTACGCCTGACCGAACGGAGGACCAAAATGGTTAACTTTTTCAAAGTCAAGGACTTAATTGGTGAAGAAAAATTGTCGAGGACGAAATTGGTAATTTCGCAATAGTAGAGGGACCATTTCGGTAATGAACTCTTTATTTATTTAAACTCTTCATAGCAAATTGATTTACAGTGTGAAATGTCATTTAAAGAAACACTTCAGTAACTTTCTTTCATTTATTCTAGTTGTTTGGTCTTTGCTATATATTTTCTACTATTATTTGACTGATGTATTCCTTAATATCTCTATAGATTGGTGATCTTGGCTTATCAAAGGTGAAACAACAAACTTTAGTTTCTGGAGGTGTTCGTGGGACTTTACCCTGGATGGCACCTGAACTTCTAAGTGGAAAGTGTAACATGGTAACAGAAAAGGTAAATTTTTTAAACATGAGTACATAACTTGTCTTCAATGTTCTGTAGTTACTAATGCCATTTCCTCTGTTCTGTTGCACAGATTGATGTTTATTCTTTTGGAATTGTCATGTGGGAGTTGCTCACGGGTGATGAACCCTATGCAGATATGCATTGTGCCTCTATAATTGGTATGTGTTAATAGTATGTTACTACTGTATAAAGTTGGCTTTAGGGATTTCACTCACAGTAAAGACTGTTTTTGCAAATTTCCATATATTTGTTCTTAAAAAAATGCAAATCTAAATGTCATTCTAAAATTGTGATTGAAACCAAAACAATACAGTACTATTCTAACCTGTATTGGTAGTAAAACCAGTGCAAATTTGTTATTGTTTTAAAACAGATGTAAACAAGCGGTCTCTGATTTAATGAGTCTAGGTTTTCTACTTCAGTGAGTAACAATTCAATGTAAACTTCACCTGTACATCCCATCCTTGCAAATGTATGCCTTTTTTTGAGTGAATTCCATTTTTGGTCCTACTATTATAGGGGCGTTTCCAATTTTAGTCCACCTTAATTTTTTTTGCCACTTTATAACCACTATTATTGAATGTGTTCCACTTTTAGTCCCACCGTTAGTATTTCCATCAAGAGGCCGTGTAATCTAGGGGTATTTTGACCTTTCTTCTCATCCAAGACTATGTTTGAGTAAAGAAATGAGAACATTAAACCTAAAACCTAAGAAACCTCGCCGGCCCATGTTGGAACGAACGAAACGATGTAGCTTTGGCTTCCCATTCTCGTTGTTCGAAGAGCCATCTTCGAATATCGGAGGAGGAGGATGAAGCGCCTGGATTAAAAGAGAAGAGACAAACATAAAAAGACCAAATTACCCTTTGATTATACGGCCTCTTAACGGAAATATTAACGGTGGACTAAAAGTGGAACACATTCAATAAGAGTGGTTGTAAAGTGGCAAAAAAAATTAAAGTGAACTGAAATTGGAAACGCCCCTATAACAGTAGGACCAAAAATGGAATTCACTCCCTTTTTTTCCATATGGTATATTAGTTTTGGATTATTCTGTTAACTGCTTTTCTCTATGGATTATTCATTATAATTTACCCTTTGTCGAAATATTTTACCTTAATGGCAACTAAATGCAGTTCTTTGCTGTGTGCTAGTCTTAAAACTGCACAAAGCTATGAGTTATTTTTGATTGATCACTTGGGAATTTTGATGGCATCTTAAAGTCATGAATGCCTGTTTAATTAGATTGTAGTAAAGTCTGTAAATAGTAATCAATATAAATTAATGACCGTCAGAAAAGATTTCCGTTGTTGAATAGTTGCAATCTATTATTAATGCAGCAGGTGAATTTTCTCATTCGTGATTAAGTTTGATGACAAATTGTGGATATGTTCTCACTCAGTGGCCATTTAATTAGTAGTGTAATGATTATATCCACGTTGATCCCTGTTAGCCGCACCCCTCTTGTATTAACTTCTTTCTTTTTTATTTGATTTGATTTTATTCCTCTTTTACGATTTGTAGGAGGGATAGTAAACAACTCCCTGCGCCCACAAATTCCAACATGGTGCGATCCTGAATGGAAGTCCCTGATGGAAAGTTGTTGGGCTTCTGATTCAACTGAAAGGCCATCGTTTTCCGAAATCTCCCAGAAATTGAGAAGCATGGCTGCAGCAATGAATGTGAAATGATGCTACTTCAATGGCAATCATTTTTGTCGCATCTTTCCCTACTAACTATCGTTTATCCAGTTAATAGAGAAGCACCATTAAAATAAACAGAAGGATATGTTTCGCCGCCTTTGGGTTCATTGCTGGCTATGAGACTGCACTAATTCCTTAGCACTGCTATATATAGTTTGGTGAAGAGAGAGCTGCAATTGCATACAAGACTGTAAGTGTCATGACAGCTGAGTTCATGCTTTTATACACAAAAATATGCTCTTTCATAAAGCTGACCATCTCCAGTTTGGTTGGCTTGAGTGAACGTGCACTCTCATCCCTTAAGAGAGGTCGGGAGTTCGAACCCCTTCTCGTATGGAAAAACCAATCTGATCAGCATTTTGTCCCTTAATTGGCTCGACCCAGTGCAAATAGGGATTAGTCTGAATATGGTATGAGTTTAAAGGTGCCTCCTACAGTTAAGGTCTGATCAGGACACCTCATGATCTGACCAAAAGAATAAAGCTGACATTTCATATCATTTGCAGGTCGATCGCGGGATCCTATTGGCCGAGGAGAGGAGAGGCGAGGGTATTTTTGTTGCAAGTCTAGCCAGGTGGCTGCAGCTTGTAATAAGAAGGATATGTACATAAAATTATGAAACTTTGGTACTCAATTTATTATTATATCACCCTTAACTTCGATTCCATTATTGAATAGAGCTGAGGTACTTTCGATGCTTCAACCTCCAAATTTTGCTGTGTAAACATGTTAACATGAATAGTGCTAGAATGGAGTACTGAGTGGCGCTCCCAATAAATAATATTTTAATAATACAATTTTGTTTATTTTTTATTTAAAGCGTTGTGTTAATGGTCAATAACACGCATGCCTTCATTTTTGTTTTTTCGCTTTTAGCCATTAAGTTTAAAAATTTGTTTCTTATTTATTGAGAATGTGCCCTTTTTACATATGAAAATTTTTAGTCTCTCAATTGTCTAGTTCTTAACTTTTTATTGTTACAATATATTTTTCCAACTCTTTAAAAAGTGTTATTAAGAGACATAATTATTAAATTCTATTAAAGTTCTTAACTTTTTATTGTTACAATATATTTTTCTAACTCTTTAAAGAGTATTATTAAGCGACATAATTATTAAATTCTATTAAAATTTTATTTAGTACATGTATATTTTAATACTTTTTAATATCTTTACCCATAACAGTTTGTATATTTTTTTGTTACAAATAGTTTCTCAAGTGAAGCATCTGAGCAAGTGAAGAACAAATGGATTCAACCATAATTAAGTATTACTCCGTATTATTTTACTGATTACAGTTAATATAATATCTAATGATTATTAAGATATTATATTTAATGCATATTATACTTCTTGCAAAATTAAATTAAAGGGGTGTTTGGTTCAAACATTAAAATTAGAATCATATCAAATTCAATAGTAGGGTACACAAATTCCCAACCAAACACCACCCAAATTTATTGAAAAGAGTAGACATAAACTAAACTTGTACAGAATTGGGGTAAATTACGGTAATTCAACGGTCCATTTAGTGGAAAGACTAGTGGTTAGTGCTCACAATGAGTTACCTCACAAGAGGGTGAAACCAGACTATCCATTAGGTGAAAGGATCAGTGTCTAGTGTCTACAAGGAGTCATCCTCATAAAAGGGTAAAACTCGCACATTGCCGGAACTCGATCTTGCATCTTTACTCACTATTCAGTACCTAAGAACTAATTGAGCTATCCAATAAAACAAATTGTATGTGTACAAGTGTTATGCCCCACACCCACCAAACCTACCTGAACAAAATAGGGTAGTGAAGGTGTACGAGTCCAACACCTGGTTGACTTAATTCTCTTCTTTGGTGGGCATATATATATATATATATATATATATATATATATATATATATATATATATATATATATATATATATATATGCATATAATATAATTATTTCCAATTTCAAAGAATATTGAAGAAATGAATTGAAGATGGAGGTCGGTCAAATTCCATGACAGCATCATTATCATCAACTACTGACTTAATCCTCATTCTCTCTAGAAACCGTACAAAAAATTTGTTACCTAATACGCGGGATCGAGTTTTTAATCACAAGTCAACCCTCAAAATTCACATTCTTATCTCAATCAATTCTTTAATTAACGTCAATAATCGAAAGGTTTTGGATTGTTCGCCGAAAGGTTTATGTTCGTGATCTACTTTGGTTTGCTTTGATGAAAATTCGAGTTTGATTCGATAACTATTCAACTGAACTCGATCAACTTCAAATAACGAATCAAGTCAAATTTAAATATCTTAGCACGTGATTCAAACAGTTCGTGAGCCTAATTAATCAACACAAATTTAACTCATACATTTATATATTTATATTTATATGGTTAAAAAAATAGCTATGATTGATGTATAATATTGAGTTTTGTTATGATATTTGATTGTAAAATATTTATTAGTATACTTAGCTTTTTGTGTAAAAATAAAAATCTTTATTAAAAATATTCGAGCCGAACTCGAAGAGCTCGAACTTGAGTCGAGTTGCGTTAGAGCTCGGTTAAGTTTGAGTTTTGATATTTTAAATTAAGTTGAGTTTCAAGCTTTGACTATTCAAGCTTAGCTCGGTTCAACTCAATTACACCCTAACAGCTGACATATCATGCTTTAATTGCTAAAAAAAAAATGTTGATTTTTATCCATCTTTTTCATTCAATAAACTATAATTAGGACTTATTGAGAGTTTTATTCTTTACGGGTATATTTATATATTATTTATTTATTTATTCTACCTAAGAATTATATTAATTACACATTTTGATGTTTCACTCCATACTCTCGAACATGACAACTGAAGTCGTTGTTAAATACATGTAAGGAGCAAACATTTTTATTAAATTATTGTAGGGTTTACATTTTCTTTTTGTTTTCTTATAATAATAATAATAATAATAATAATAATAATAATAATAATAATAAGACCCTGCTGTTTTAGTGTATTATTGTAATTGGTTGTACTTTATTCTTATTATCATATAAGATATTGCATGGAATTGTATTACATTAATCTATTCATCTATTTGAAAAATCATAATCACAACTTAAGTGTGCTCATTCTATTGGTCAAAAAACAAACAAACCATAAGAAAATAACTATAACTACTCCCCTAATTTGACTTCTATTTTCTTTTCAAATTGACAAGTACAACTATATTTAAGTAGATCGAGATTTCTTAATCATAAAATCTCTTTCCTTTCTATTTAATGTTTTATGTTTTATGATTCCAATACACAGCAAACAAGACATTTTAGAAGTTAGGCAAATGTTACCTTCCCGGCTTCCCCTAATAAATTACTCATAATATTTGTTATCTAACATAATATTAATTAAAAAAAAAAAAGAAGAAATTTCTCAGGTGTGAATGTGCACTTTTAAACACTACCAAGTGTATTTTACGTTATGTAAAATGCACTAAAAAAAAAATTACAGGGATCAAGGGCGGCAGCCTCCTTAGGTGCGCCATGCAAACAAATCTGGGTCCTTGGATGAACTGAGATCAATGATTGAAAATCAATGAAAATGAGAAAAATGTGGTGACATTTTTAAAAAAATCCTACACCAAGTATATTTATGTGGTGCACTAAGAGCTGCTTTATAGTGCGCTAAGTGCTAGTCGTGGTGCACTTAGTAGTGGTCTATGATGCGTCACTCATTTGTGGTGCACTAAGTGTTGGTCTGTGGTGCACAAATTATTGGTTTATGATGCAGACCAAGTGTATGTAAGTGCACAGTGTCTGCCACATGCACCCGTTAATCTGAGCTCATCCAATAGTCTAAATTTGTTTTCATGCTCGCACTTGGGGAAGCTGCTAGAGCAGTCAAAACGGTCCCGTGGAGGTAGGACCGGCCAAAGCCTTCCCCAGCGCTAGGGTGGGCTAAAAAGCCCATTTATTGGTGACTATATCTACATCATACGTAGTCCAAATGAGATGATTCAAGTGTCAAAGGAAAGAGAAAAAAGTCCTATACAATTTTAATGTTGAACACTTTGAGAGGTTCCGGATGGTATTAATATCAGAAAATGATAACATTCAGACACGCCCTGAGGAATTTGTCCTACAACATGTTGATAATGTTTTGACCATATCTCCTTCATATGAAGTCCAATCAAGGTGATTCAAGTGGTTATGGAAGCTAACAGAGTGCCCTACAACTTTTATGTTCAAAGTATTTTCTTATTCAGAGCAAAACAATACCAAAATTGAGCCCAAAGTTTGACGTGCCCAGACTGAAGTTTAATTTTATTATTATTATTATTATTAGTATTTTTATAGTAGCGGGGGTGTGGGCTAAACCCGCAGGCCGCCAGGGCCCATGACCCAAGCTGGGTGCTGGCAGGTTGAACATTCGATGAACCAGCCCCTACCTACGACGTGACGGGCGGGTAGAGTTGGCGGGAAAAGTCTATTTTGACGGCTCTAGAGGCTGCCGTACCAGAACCAAACCATATATATATATATATATAGTTCTAGTGTGGAGATGCTCCCAAGTGAAAAATGGGGCTAGATCTGAACCGTTTGATCAAATCGATCTAAATCAACAGTTCAAATCAATGAAAATTTAAATAAAAAAATGTGCCTCCTGCATCCATCTTCTTCATGTTTACTCCAAAGATAACAACTCCACAATTTGTTATTATATTGTCATCAATGTTTTTTTTTTTTCTTTTGAATTAGATCATTTTGAACTTAGGAACCAAAATTGAAAAAGTCCATTGTACTGTTGAATGAAAAAAACTATAAAAATGGTGCACATTAAGAAGAAAAACAACGCACCTTAAGAAGGAAAACAAAACACCTTAACAAGGAGAACAATGCACCTTAAGAAGGAAAACTACACATCTAAAGCTTTAAGCTAACACACCTTAAGAAGTAAAACAACGCACCTTAAGAAGGAAAACCACGCATCTGAAGCTTTAGGTCGATGCACCTTAAGTTTCAACAACTGATGCACCTTAAGAAGAAAAACCACACACCTTAAGAAGGAAAATCACGCACCTAAAATTTTATACTGACGTACTTAAGTTTTCAACAACTGACGCACCTTAAGCACACAACACAAAAATCACACACCTTAAGAACAAAAATCACGCACCTTAAAAAGGAAAACATCGCACCTTAAGAAGAAAAACCACACACCTAAAGCTTTAGGCCGACGCACCTTAAGTTTTCAACAACTGATGCACCTTAAACACACAAACCACACACTTTAAGAAGGAAAATCACGCACCTAAAGCTTTAGACGGACACACTTAAATTTTCAACAAATGACGCATCTTAAATACACAACACAAAAATCACGCACCTTAAGAAGGAAAATCACGCACCTTAAATTTGACCTAGATGCAAAATGACCAAATTGCCACCACGTTCTTTTTATAATTTTTTAATCCTACACATTGATCTGGAGTAGATCAATGACTCTCATATCACCTCACAACCACACTTGACACACCCAACTGCACGGGAACACATTCATATATATATATATATATATATATATATATATATATATATATATATATATGATTCGATGTAGCCGTACGAGTGTAGAGTATTTTTGTACAGAATCACTATTTTATTCATGGAGGATAGATCGATGCTATATCATTGAGTGGATAATGCATATTATGGCATAGTAAAATTAAATATTTTAATTGGTTTGGTGAAGATGTACTGTGCAAATTACGTACCTCTTTTTTCAAGTTGGTATGTAGCACATTACATTATATTGCTCGTCATTCTTCATACCTTTTCACATAATC